TTCAATTGGAGAGGGGGTTTCCTGCATAATGCTGGACATGTGTGTACATTTTTTGGTACCCCCTAGCCATGGTAATTATGTAATTATTGGTGTAAATTTTGCTTTTTGCCTGGGGTCCTCCCCCACCTTGAGAGCTGGTGCAGAATCACATTGGCTTCCTCTGAGTCATCTGGTCCGTGGTGGGGCTCAAAGAGGACAAGTGAACAGTCCAAGTTCATGAAGGCTGAAGTGGGTATCTTGAGGCAGACTTTTGATTCTAAGTAGGAGCATTTTATTCCCCTGTTCAGCTGAATGGGCAATGATAAGAAGGAAACTGGGGAAATGGTCTTGGGGTTGCTTTTGGGTCCAGTTGTTCATTTCCCCATGTGGGCTTAGACTCAGATGCCATGGGATGCTGCTGCCCCAGCTGTCCTGAGCTTCCTGATAGTTCAGATGAGGTTACAGTTTAAAGACCCATGATGGAGAGTCTCTTGTCCTTTACGTTCCTTGGGAACACATGTGGTCTCCATTCCCAAGACTTCCGCTCGCTAGAGGAACTGGGAGGAGTTCAAGTTTGCTCCAAAGAAGAAAGGAAGGTTCTACTCGTGAGACACTCACTCTGGGTTAAAAGTGGCTGACATTTATTGAGCAGTTACCCTGGCCCAGGCATGTTCTTAAGCACCTGACACGTAATCCTTACAGGGACCCGGTAGGCAGGTACTGTTATTTCTCTACTCTGTGAATGAGGAAACTGGCACACAGAGAGGTTATGTAACCTGCCCAAGGTCACACAGCTCGAGAGTGGTTTTAGCCAGGACTCAAAGCCATCTTCCTAACTATTTTGCATTATTGCTAGTCTGTGCACTGGCTCCGTTTATCTTTTGATTTTGTGAAGCACGCTCTCTTATAGGAGCTACATTTACAGATCTCCCTTATCTTTCTTAATAACCCTTTAAAAATGTGACAAGCATTCTTAGCTCTCTGGGTCCTACAAAAACAGACCGAACCTGCAGCCAACAAATAAAGAAGCAAGATAACTTCAGTTGGTGTGAAATGCCCTGATGAAGATAAAATGGGAAGGGTGTGGAGAGAGGCAGGTGGCCCCGAGGGGTTAGGGAGAGTCTCCCTAAGGAGGTGGCCTGAAGCCGAAGCCTGAATGATGGGAAGGATGCAGAGGTCCACAGTGTTTAAAGCCCACTTAGCATCGCGTCTGCGCCTCACACCAAGTGCTTAATGAGTGCTGGATGTTATTATTATTGTTGTTGCTCTTGTTGTAATGGTTTGCCATTAACTGGCTGTCTGGCTTTGGGTGGGTCATGCACCGCTCTTGCAAGTGGCACCGAATGTCTTCCCTGTAGCCTTGGCAGTCGCACAATTCCGAGTGATTTCTAGCATTCGTCCCCTCCTGACTTCCCAAAACCCCTTTGAAATAGGGGAGCAGAATGAACCCTTTTTTACATTTTCAGTGGAAGATGCATTGTAGGAAGAGGAAAGCTTTTGTGGAGGGACAGCCACCATGGTTATTAACATTTACAGGAGCCCATTTAGTTTC